GTATACCTGAGAGATACATAGCAAAGTCCAGTCTGCAGGCTCATCACCCACTTCACAGAAGAAGGAAGCAATCAAGAAATTATATATCAACCACAGGGTTAGACTGCTACTATTCACCAAACATGCTCCATTATATCTTAATTAAAGTGGTTTTTATTTTAAATTTTTTACAGCTGGTGAAAAGATGATTATTTTCCCCATAGGAGCCTGCACAGCACCTTTCAGTATTCTGTTAATTATTCAACAGGTTGTAAGCTACGTAGTAAATCTGACTTGAGTTCTTTGTGTTCTGTAACAAGTGCATGAGGTGCCTTCAGCAACAAGGTCTTACTGTCATGTTCCAATGGGAAACCAAGAGCAATGGCAGGATGCTGCATTGTTTTGAGGATCTCTGGGACACCTTTTATCAATGAGTCAAGAGGAGATATGCTATTCCTGCCACTGTACTTTTTATTTAGCAGCCTATGGCTTTTGAGATAAGCATACTCAGAAATTTCATGAGTACACTAGTGAAAAACGTTACTAGGATAATAAACTAGTTTCTGATTAGATTTTAGGTTTGATCCATTGGGGGGGGCAGGTGCCTTATACTGCAAAGCTGACAGAGAATTTGTGGTTGTGGAACTTACAGGCAGCAGTTGTGAACTTACTATAGTATTTTGCTAATGAGCCACAGTATCAATTATTTCTCTAAATTTGTATCTCTCTGCTCATAGTTTAGTGCAGCTTTCAGACCTCACCAAAGAGTTTCTTTGTGTGATGAATGTGGTTAACACAGAAACTCAGCTATTCAGAATTTATAGAATAAGTATCATAGAGTACTCAACCACAATGGGATGTCTGTGTAACACTTCCTCCCCCAAATTCTGGGATTATTGCTGAAAAGGAAGTAGAAAGATCATAAGAGGACTAGAGCAGAACAATTTGTTCTAGACATGAAAGGACCACTGCCCTAATGAAATAATCACAGCTGCTGCTGCATGCACAAAAACAAGCCAGTCAAAATTCCAACATGTAGGCATGGAGGAACTCATGCAGCTACTCCCATAGCTCCAGAACCACTGAGTCTGTTTTCTTTAAGATATCTATCCCCATGCACAAAACTTAAGTCCAAATGGATCAAAGAGCTCAACATAAACCCAGCCACTCTGAATCTCTTAGAAGAGAAAGTCGAAGGCACCCTTGAATGAATTGCTTCCTGAACACCAGTAACACAGACACTGGAAACAACAATTAATAAATGGGGCCTCCTGAAGCTGAGAAGCTTCTGTAAAGCAAAGAGCACAGTCAACAAGACAAAACAAAAGCCCACAGAATGGGAGAATATCTTCACTAACCCCACACCTGACAGAGAGCTGATCGCCAAAATATACAAAATACTCAAGAAGCTAGTCACCAAAACACCAAATAATCCAATTAAAAAGTGGGTACAGAACTAAATAGAGAATTCTCAATAGAGGAATCCAAAATGGCTGAAAGATAAGAAAGTGATCAACATCTGTAGCTATCAGTGAAATGAAAATCAAAATAACTCTGAGATACCATTTTGCACCTGTCAGAATGGAGTATGATGGGAGATGTCATTCTGTAAATTTGTTTTTCATACTGGTTAATGAATAATTCACTGTTGGCCAATAGGAAAGGAAGATAGGAGGGACTAGGAGACAAGGAGGAAAGAGGAAGTAGTAAGGAGGGGTCAGCATGTAGAGACTGGAGAGAACAGAAGGCCCACTCTCCAGTAAGATGAGACCACGTGGAAATACTTAGATGAATAGAAATGGGTTAGTAATTAAGACAAAGCTAGCCAATAAGAAACTAGTACCTGGCCAACAGCATTATGTCAAATACAGTGTGTGTGTGTTATTTGGGGCTGGCATGGCAGTGGCTCCAGGCTGCCGGAAAAACTACTCTTACAGGAGTACTACTCAGTGGGGGGGAGGGGGGCAAGAGAATCTTGAAATGAACAGGCAAATGCATGGAACTAGAAGAAACAATTCTAAGTGAGGTAATCCAGCCACAAAAAAACAAACATAGTATGTACTCACTCATATATGGAATTTAGTCATACACCAAAGGATCACCAGTCTACAATCCACTTACCAGAGAAGCTAGGAAACAAGGAGGACCCTAAAAGAGACATACATGTTCTCCTGGAGAAGAAGAAAGGGACAAGATCTTCTGGTCAGATTGGGAGCTTTGGGTGTGGAGGGAAGAGGGAGTTAGGAAAAAGAGAAGGAGTGAAGAGGAGGTGTGAGGAAGACATGCATGTGGGAGCAGAAAGGTTGAGTCGGGGAAGAAATAGAGGAGAGCAAGAAAAGAGATACCTTAATAGAGGGAGCCATTATAGGTTTAAAGAGAAATCTGGCATTTAGGTAAATGTTCAGAGACCTACAAGGATGACCCAAAATAAGAATCTAAGCAATAGTGGAGATGCTACCTCAAATGCCCTTCCTGGTCAGATAATGAGATTGATGACTATGGCATATGTCATCCTAGAGACTTCATCCAGTAGCTAACAAAAGCAGAGGCAGACACCAACAGATGAACATTGAGAACTGCTGGAATCTAGTTTTAGAGAGGGAGGATTAATGAGCACAGGGGTCAAGAACAGGCTGGAAAACACACACACACACACGCACGCACACACACACACACACACACACACACACACACACACAGAGAGAGAGAGAGAGAGAGAGAGAGAGAGAGAGAGAGAAACAGCTGACCTGAATAAGGGGAAGCTATAGACCCCAGACTAATAGCTGGGAAACCAGCATAACACTGTCCCAGACCCCCTGAGCGTGGGTCTCAGTTAGGAATCCTGGGCAGTCTATAGGACCTATGGCAGTGGAACCAGGCTGTATCCTTAGTGTATGAATGGTCTTTGGGAGCCAACACCCCATGGAGGGATACTCCCTTAGCCTAAAGACATGGAAGAGGGCCTAGGCGATACCCCAAATGACATGACAGATTTTGATGATTCCTCATGGATGGTCTCACACTCCCTGGAGGGTGGATGAGGGATGGGATGGGGGTTCGGTAGGGGGCATGAGAAGATGGGAAGAAGAGGTACCTGGGATCAATATGTAAAATTTAAAAAATATATATTGAAGAAAAAAGAAAGATGTCAAATTAAATAACAATAAAGGAAATTCATTTAATATTCCTAAACCATTTAAAATGTGAAGTATTATAAAAGTGTGTAACAAGATTTCTCATATGTAGAGGACAGGAAATGAAAAGCTAGGAAAATATATGTAAAGGATTAAACATTTCCTACACCATTATCAAGTATTTTTCCTTATAGTATATATCTTTTAACCCAGTTTCTTAATTTGAGAGTGTTCAAATATGGTCCATGTAACTAAATTTGGGCATCATGAAAGAACTGAAAAAAATCTAAGAGGTTTTTAAACATGCAGTAATGAAAATCTTCCTGCAATGTTCCCTCTGATGCACCTTGCCACTTCATTGTGTTCTTGTTTCAAAATGTATAGCTTTGGAGTTCAATGTTTTCTGCACTCCCATATAAACACAGTGGTTTGTTAATGAAAAACAATGACTTTTAAAAGTAGATTTATTTATTTAGATTTTCTGTGTTTTGCCTGCATGTGTGCATATGTATGTATGTATGTATGTACGTACCTGTGTGGTGCTCATGTTGCTTCCTGTGAAACTGTAGTTTTAGATGTTTTATCAGCTGCTGTGTGGAAACTAGGAATCAAATATGGGTTTTTCAAATAAGCAGCAAGTACTTTTAACCACTGGACAATCTTTCCAGGCATGAGAACATTAGCATTTTAATATTTTCTATCATTCTTTAACATTAAAAATAAATGGATTTTGTATGTCTTTAGAGTACACCATGCTAGAATGATTGATTTTATTTTTAAATTGTTGTTTGACTTAACTTTCATTTTAAAATATCACTAAATTCAGGGGGGTTGTGTCGGTTCAATGCTGGTTTCCCAGCTATCAGTCTGGAGGGTCCATTAGCTCCCCCTTGTTCAGGTCAGCTGTCTCTGTGGGTTTCTGTAGCCTGGTCTTGTCCTCCCTGGGCAGTCTAAGGGACCTCTCACAGTGGAACCAGGATGTATCCCTGGTGCACAAAAGAATTTTGGGTGCACATTCCCCATGGAGGGATACTCCCTTAGCCTGGAGACAGGAGGGAGGGACTAGTCTCTACTCCAAATGACTTGACAAATTTTGTTGATACCTCCTGGAAGGCATCACCCTCCCTGTGGAGTGTGGGTGGGGTAATTGGATGGGAAGGAGAGAGGGAGGAAAAGAGAGGGAGAGGGGGAGGGCACTGGGATCAATATGTAAAATCAGAAAAATAATAATAATAATAATAATAAAAGGAAAACAATATCACTAAATTAATTTTGGCCTTGGAGTGGGATTATAAATTCTAACTATTTTTGAGAGGGCCATGAACATAGTACTTTCATTTTGAACTATGTATGTAATGTGGAGTCACATTGCCAGCATCAACTATAATAAAATAAAAATATTGGCCTGCTCCAAATAAGATTGAAAATTCTCTATAATATCAAAATTTCACCCATAAAAATTTATATAAAATAAATGTGTACCTACCAATAATTGTACACATTTTCTGTGATCTTTGCTAGGTAGAGAATCAGATTCAGTTTCAACAAATAAATTAATTTATTTATCACTTATTTTCATAAAATATTGGTATGTGTATTCATTTTACACATCCCTGGGTTATCTAAAATTTTCTTGGGTGAAAGCAGTTATGAGTGAATAATGTTGAAGGAGCCCTTTGCTTGGAATCATTTGACTGAGTGTAAAGAGATAGGTATAAAAACATTCATTGTAACCACACTCAAAATGGGAAAAAGATAGAAACAAACTAAATATCCTTTCACCATTAATGATAAACATCACGCTTATGAAACTCTCTTCCACACAGGTGGATTAGTTATTACATTTGATTCATGCATATCAGCTTTTGGATGCTTTTCATGTATTTAAAAAATATGGAGGGTTTCACGAATTTGTATATCATCCTTTCACAGAGGCCATGTTAATCTTCTTTGTATTGTTCCAATTTTGAAATATATGCTGCCAAAGCAAACACACTTACTGTGTTTGTAGCAGTTATGTTCACTCATGTTACTAAATATAAGCCTAGTTTTTTCCTCACTGCAATTAAATTTCCATAAATATGTAACTTGAGTTTGCTGTTCGAATTTTTTTACATATGGTATTTAAATCAATATGTATTCTATAAAATTTTAAACCACACAAGTCAGTTTTCTATTTTAGGAAATGGTGAAAACCTACTCAGTAACCATAGAGACAAATCATAAATATTTCATTTCAGGGTTTTGGTGGAAATTGGAAATTGAGTGAATTAATGGAATAAGAAAGAGGTACAGACTTAAATTAATTGCATCTTTAAGGTTTTATTTCTTTGTGTTTGCCTGTGTACCTGTGTGTGTGTGTGTGTGTGTGTGTGTGTGTGTGTGTGTGTGTGTGTATGTGTGCATGTTTGTGTGAGTTTTTGGATATACATGTATGCACAGGTATGTCTGCACATACGTGTAAATGCATGTGAAAAACAAGCAGACAACTGTTTCTGTGTCTGAAAAACCACCCTGGTTTTTGAGACATGGTCTCTGAATGGCCTGGAAATCACCAAGTAGGCTACTTTGATTGGCCTAACCTTCCCGCTGTTTCTGCTTTCCCAGCCCTGGGCTTATAAGGCAGGCCTCTGTCACACTGGTTCCTTCATTTGGGTTCTAGGGGTCAAATTCCGATATGTGTCCTGAGCAGCTAGTGATTTCCCAATGATCTCTAATCTCTTTGTGCTGTTTCTTATAACAGGCAAAAAGATTCCATCAGAAGAGGTTTGAAGAAAATAATATGTTCAATCTTGGTGATCAGATAAGGAAACAATTCTCTGCTTGTTTAGTTACAACCACAAGCCAGGCTCCTGGAACACCTCTGAGGCCCATTTGTGTATTTCCTTAAGCAAAAACTTATTCTATATTAGTTGAATAAGAATATTCATCCCAAACTCTTGAGATGTTACTTCACCTGGATATAACATATGCACCTGACTCGTCTATAAAGGGGATCCTGCTAGGTATCTTATTGTTCTGACACAGTTTAGGCAAGTTCATGATTTCATACATGCTGGTATGTGAGTTCCTAGGAACTGCTGGGAAACAGGAGTCAGGACTGCTTATTGGCCTCTTCTCAGATTACTAATGACTTTTACTAATTATTCATCTAATTTTATTTTAATGCCATTTAAGTAACTCATGCAAATCAAATACATCCTGTCTGACTATGTCATTATTAGTCATGACCAGATATTTTTTCTGTCTATAACTAAAGGCATTCAAAGTTATTATAAGTATTTGGTGAAATTTAAAAAAAAATGTTTATTTAATAGTGCCATGTTGGTTAGTATTTAACATTAGTGCTAAGAGTTAGTACATCAATGTGTCATAATATAAATAACAACAATACACACTATATACATATCTATGTGATAGACTTAAACTCTGAGTTGTACATTCATGGAAAGTTATAATTCAACTCTACTTGTCCAACACATTGTAAAAAGTTCTAATATACTCAACATAGTCTTACATAAATGCATAAAGGCATTTACTTTTTTCCATTTGTGAGACTAAAAGTAAAAGGAACTTAATTTTCATTCATTTAATAATTTCACTTAGAAGCATTAGCTATTTATCTTATGCTAAGTAAAACATCAACATTTTTGCATGCATCTGTGTACATCATAGGTGAAAAGTGAGCTAGGAAAGAAGAAAAAGCATATATTTTGAGCAATGAGATAGATGTTACTAATAAGCTAATGCATGAATAATGCAAAGACGCTATAAAAATAAATTCCATGACATTAGCAAACATAAAATAAAGAGCATAACCTGGAATAATTATGGTGGCTACAGGGGAAGAATGGAGGCAGGGTTGGATCATTTATGTCCCTCTGGATCAAGGTAATAATATTGACATTCTTTTACAAGTGCAAAAGAATGTCACCCAAGGATTTTTCCACAGGTGATAATTCTGAAATATACTGCAGAAAAAGTGCAAAATAAACAAACAGTACTAGAACTAAAGACTATACACAACAACCAGTAGGATCTTGAAAAACTGAAAACTGTGGGAACTACAATAAGGACCAATAGCCATATTCACCATCAGATAAAGTCGTAAGAGAATGAGTCAAGAAAAGAAGAGCCAAGAGAAGATATCAATAAAAAGTTTTAAAACTAGAGAGAAAAGATACTAAACATGAAAATTAATTAATTTAAAGAAAGTTATGGGAGATATATAAGATGCTAATGTAGGAAGATGCTAATGTAGGAAGATTATGGATTTGAAGCTATAGACGAAGTTTAAGTCACTCTCAGTTGTTTAGCCAGACCCTCCCTCTAACAAACTCAATGCATATATGTATGTGTATGTATGTATATTAGAGAGGCATAGCTTAATGGTAGAGTACTAGCCTATCACACACAGGACTCTAAACTTAGTACCCAGTACTGAAAATAATTCATGAGCATTAACACATGTAACAAATACACTTGAGGAAGAGTGGAGAAAACAGAACAGTCATGGGTAATAGTGCAAACCTGTAATCTTAGCATCTGGGGAGGGGGGCGTTGAGGTAGGGGGAATGTAATCTCCAGTCTAGTGTGTACTACATAGCAAACCCAGCACTAAATATAGAAGGAAAAGAAATAAATGCAATTACCTGGGAATGCTGTCACATGACTGTAGTCCTAATTTCCAAGAGGTTGATTTAAGAGGATGGTAAATATTATTAGTTTTAAGAAGTAAAACTTCTTAAGAAGTGGTGATTTAAACAGATCCTTTGCATTTGTTATCTGATATATACACAGGGTTGATATTATATGAAAAAGTGTCAGCATCATTAGGGATGAGGTTGAGAATACTTATTTATACAGAGGGCTACAATTCACATCTACAAAAGTGTGCTAAAGAAGTGGATCAAATACATTTTCAAGACAGTGCTTTCAGTATAAACTGGGAGATCTGCTTTGGAAATTTTTGCATATGTTGAAGAAAGGAATCCATCTTAACTTTTACTTGTCTACTCACATAAGCAAAGACCAAATCTATGGAAGGCTTGTTTGCAGTGTTTAAAACAGCCTTGTTACAGATGCAAGTTCAACTATCCAAATGACTGTCAACAGGAAGAGAAATCTGCTTTGGGGAACATTTCCAAGAAGTTAATAATGCTTTGTTCTTTGTGGCTGTGATTATTAATCTTATGTGTCTGTTTTGTTGTTTTCTAACACATATTTTAGATGAAATCTCTACTTACAAATATTTATATAAATTTAAAAGCAGCTACAGTTCACTAGTTGCTATTTTCAAACAAGCAGTTATCTTTTCGCTTTAAATTGAATCGAGGTTAGAGGGATGCTCATGAAATACTTGGCTTTTCAATTCAATGTCTTTTATATTTTGTTCTAATATGTTATCCTCCATGGGGCAGGAACTCTTGGAGAGCAGGGAACAAAATCTAATTAAAGAAGACTCCCTTTTAGCATCTCACACTACAACTCACCGTGACTGTTCCAAATAGTTCACAGAAAATCAAGAAAAATTCAAACCTGTCTTAACATCAAAAATAATTGCTTTAAACAGGCTCTGGAAGGGCCCTTATTAAATTTTATATTACTTCACCCACAAAATTATGGAAGGTAACATTCCTCATCTTGCCTCTTAATGGAAGATTTGGGATTCTGGCTCTGTAATTCATATGTGTTTCTCTCTCAAATTAATACTACTCATACTGACTGGACATTCTAATTTCACTCAGTTGCTATAATAAAGTATTTTGATTAAAAAGCAACTTTAAATAAAAAGAAGTTTATTTGCTTTACAATTCCAGTTACAGATCATATTTGTGGAGAAGTCAAGACAGAAACTCAAGAAGTTGGTCATATCATTTCCACATTCCAAAGCAAAGAGAAATTCATAATAACCATGCTTCCAATTTTCTTACCCAGCTAACTTTCTTCATCTTCCAACAGTTTAGGTCCTGATCCAGGAAATGATGCTCCCCGTAATGAGCTGAGTCTCGCTTCATCAATAAACTGTCACAGACATGTCCATAGGACCACTGATCCAGAGAATTCACCAACTGAAACTCTTTTCCTAGACTGATAAGTCAAGTTGGTAGCCAAACTAACCATTGTACATGGGAACTACTTTTGGCTGATCATATTAGAACAGATAATTTCTTTCCTTTACTTTGTGAGAATTATAAGCAATTGCAGATATATGCTAATATTATGTACTAAATGTTAATCTTGTGATTAACATGACAACAATGCTGAAAGGAACAGATGGAACCTCAAAGTTTGAACTCCATGTTGTGTTCTACATTAGAGTATCAGGATACATTTATTTGGACCTTCTACCCTGCCACTGACATATTTGAATGCTGCTCTGTATAGAGTTAGAAAATCAACTAAAAACACCAAGCATATCAGCATTTAATATATTCAAAGTCACGGTTGGAGAAAGAAGTCAATTTTGTCAGTTCAAATTATAGAATATAATTAAAATATTTTTTCTTCCCTGCATATCTAAACTATTAAAATCTTTAGAAATGAAAGAAATAATTTTATAGATGTAGCACTTCCATGAAAACTGTTTGATGTGATTGAACTATTAGCATAAGAAGGTGTATTACCCTTATAACATACTGATAGGGTTTGTGACTTTAAAGATATTGTTAAAGTACATGTGGTTAAATGTGTACTAAAATTACTTTGATTCAAAGAACTAGTATTGACATTAATTATTCCATAATTTTAAAAGATTCATGTTATATGCTTAACTTTATGATTGTGATTATTATAACAACTTTTAAACATTAATATTTTGTCTTTTCTTAATTTATCTAAATAATAAAATGATGTTTTTATTCTTGGTAAGATTAAGTTCATCTCTGTGGACATATGAAGAACATTTGGATTCCTGTGTTAAATAAGAGTGCAGTGTAAAAGAAGAATGGTTGCTAAATTTTTGTTTCAAATATGACTGCCCTCCAGATT